AGCACTTTGTGTGAATTTCACAATTATTTATTTCATTGAATAAGTGATACTGATTTGATTTGATTTGAACTGAAGCTGGCCATGAAAATATCGGTACTACGTAATACTGCGTATGTCTGCTAACCGGGGCGAACCAAAGACGGTCCCTACTGTAGCCAAGCAACCAGGACCCCAGAAACTAACCCATTGTGGTAAAAGTGGTAAGTTCAAACAATGTTGATTGGTAGGAATCCTGCTTTTCCAAGTTTAAGATTGTTCAGGAAAATGTCGATTAGTGAGAATGTACCAATATGGTCGGGCGGTATTCAGTGGACCCCCTCCCTACAAATATATCGTGGTTACCATATGCTCAGTGTCACTTCACACGTCGTACTTGTTTACGTACGCATGCGCAGTGACTGGTTGGCAAGATCGGTCGTTCGCACTCGGAAGATGAAACATGTGCCTGTTGCAGTTAATAAAACAACTTATGGGCAACGTTGTCACAGTAAATGAGCTAGTTTTGACCAATGAGCGATTTTTGTTTTCAGATATTTACCTGCTGGTTGGCGAACATATAAACATATGACGTCGCAGTGCGACGGCCTATACACCTTTCCTATAAATCCTATAAATGGTGTCAAAGTGGTTCTGTGACGTAAATGGGGACGGACACGACGGCTTTTAAAATCTTCGATATCTTTTTGATCTGTAATCGTTCATCAATGAAAATTGTGTTTTTGAGATATCTTACATTCTAGATAACGAACGAATAAACAACCAATCACAGTTGTCGGTTTACGCGACATTGTCTTCACACGTATACGTCATTTTGACGTCACTTCAGAGCGCAATTTGGAATGTCCGTAGAACTTTCAACATTCTACTGGCTTGCCGGTCGTTCATTCCCCATCTCAACGCAAGACTGCGAATTTTACTAACAAATGCACCAGCCTGGTCAGAATACCAGTAATTTATACGTGGTTTTTATGAAGTAACCATCTTATGATCTAACTGTTTAAACTTCGTTATTTTTTTAGCCTATTTACGCCGGCCTGTTCACGCCTGATTTATCGTACCCCAGCGCGGCGTAACGTACGCCGACGTAAAAAGCACAGATGTGAACACGTTGATATTGTGTTAGGTACACACACGTAGCCGTGGCACACATAAGTCAATTTCAGTGAAAAGATTCGATGTTAACTTCTATTCAACTAATTCAATACTAGTACATAACAGTTGCCAAAACAAACGGAAACTGAGCTTATTGCTATAGTGACCGGATAAGTAAACAAATTCACTTCAAGAGTAAAAGTGAACACAGTTTACTGCGCACTCGCTACTCGACAACGGAACCCCGAACAGCATTGACAGACCCAGGTCGGTAAAATATTTATTTTTTCTTTTGAACTTCTTCCATGTTGTTTCATATGAATACATACTGGGAGAGATGTTAATAATCTCTGATTTTTTTATTACGTTAAACAAGGAACAGAAGAATAACGCGAAAAAAGCATGGAATAAAAGAAAAATTGTACAGCGTTCGTTTAACCATCGGAGTTAGCAAAAGTCCATGTAATCCATTTAGATTCGTTTGCAACATGATTTAAAAGTTTTCAACCGATGGATGACGTATTTTCTTTGAGCTATGCTATACTCTCCAAAAAAATAAAAAGAATTTCTCCACGTTACAATAAATGGGGATAAAACATTCAATAAGTAGTTGAGAGTGTAATTTATGCGATGTTTACATAGTCTCGTGTTCGTACCTGTCATAGATCATTGTCACTGTGCAATGTCACACAAGAATCATTTGGGTTTCAACGTCGTTGTTATGAGCTTGCCGAATACTACGCCATTAGGGGGAGAATTACTTAAACCGCGTAATGGATGTAAATGAACGCACCTCGCGTCAAGCAGTTTTTTTTTCTAATTTAACATTTTCTATTTGTTTTTAATGTGGAAAATCGGTTCAAGGGAGACTGCGTTTTTTTTTATATGACAATAGTTGAGTAATAATTGAGAATTGATCTGGAAATAGGGGCTATCGATATTAAACATGGAATACGGTGTGAAGTGTATGCCTTCCATCCAGGATGTATTCCTTCTGTTCCACAAAAAATTCTAAATTGTTATCATAAGTACACATTGGCGAATGGAAACTGCGAATCCGACATTATTCTAATATAACATCGATTACGTGTTTTTAATACAAACGCAATTATGACAAACACGATAATGTGACTTAAAATAATTTGGTATATATTTTGTTTCATGGACGCTCCACCGACCTGATCAACTACAGTGGCACTGTGCCGTCATACGATAAAAAAGCGAAAATCTTCAAAGCGAATAGTATAGTTTGATATTT